CCCCCCCCCCCCCCCGCAGCTCATCCCAGTCCAGACATTCCCCTCTGAACCGACAAACGACTCAATATACCTCCTTGACTGCACCTACGAGCTCTTTGTCCTCGTCGGCACACACGCCCGCTCAAAGTGCACTGACATTCGCCTTGTTCTGGAGGCGGCTGAGAAGCTTTCGGCGTATGTGGAGTGCAAGAGGCCGTTCAGGCTGCCGGTTCATGTGGTCGTGCTGCCGTTGAAGGCTCCGGCGGATTTGAGGTTCCATTTTAGAGGGTTGGATGAGAATGTACTGGTGCGTTTGTACTTGTACTATTGTAACAAGATGCTGACGATGGATGGTGTAGAACGAGACCGATGTGGGGTTCGTAGGCATGCGAGGAGCACGGCTCCGGACGTGGAAGGGCAGAGCGCTGACAGGGGCGGCACTACATGTATATGGGCGCGCATCAGCTTTTGATGGATAGCCGGATGTTGAGATGGTGGGAACACACACAAGCCTCGGCCTCTACGACGCTCTGCGCAGCAACGTTACCGGCGCTGCCTGAGTGCACGATGGCGCGCGCGAAGAGTCCTCGGGCGCGGGGAGACTTGATGAGATCGATTGTGCTCCATCCACCGGCGCTCTGTTAGAATGCGCGTCAGCCTCAGACGAGATGAAGGGGAGAGTCGGTGTTATGCGAACCTGTCCGAAAACCGTAACCCTACCCTTATCCCCTGCAAACGCTTCAATATGCCTCTGCACCCACTCCAACGCCGCGATCTTGTCGCTCAATGCGAAGTTCCCGTGCACGAGGTTATTCGTCGCGTTCGGTAGAGCAAGATATCCTTGAATGACAATCAATACATGGTGTGATTGGGATGAGGGGCGTATATAGACAAACCGAAGATGTTCAAGCAGTAGTTGATGGACACGATAACTGCGTCCGCGCGCTGGGACAACGCTCCGCCGTCAAAGGTGCTGTCGCTGCCGGCGCCGTTGATATTGTCTATTCATGAACCGCGTCAGCTTTGGAGAGCATCTTCGTGACCAAAGGCGCGACGCACCGCCTCCGTGTATCCAGAGCATGACCGGCTTGAGCCCTTTCTTTCCCGAGGTGCTTTCATCGGGCACATGCGGCGTGAACACGTTCAAGTGCAAGCTACACGACACGCTATACCGGCACAGCTCGCGGTAACTATATGGAATACAACGTACTAGTCTTCATCGTTCCCCCACAGATTCAACCCGCTCGCGTTCCCCGCGAACGAGCCGAACTGCAAACACGCCTGTCTGACTGCCAGACACCCATCAGCTCTCCACCACGACTCTTTCTCAAAGATAGTCACTCATAAACAGTCGCGTCAACCTCAATACCTTCCTCTGCCTTCTCAGTGTTTGCAAATCTCCGCTCACTAACGGGCGGCATCGCATATGGAATACCCATGAACCTGAACCCGAGGTGATCGCGTAGGCCAACGAATGACGTATGGTTGACCGAGGATACCGTCGTGCGGGGATAGTGCGTGAAGTCCGTAAATATGGTCGTTGTGTACGGCGGGGTGTTCGTGCAGAGGATATTGGTTGCCCCTTTGCTTTTGCGCGAGGAGCATGCGGAGTGAACGACTTCGGCTGAGGCGATTGCACCGAGCGAAGCCTGGTAGGCCAGTTTATGCTCGAACGCGGGCACAGTGTCGCAGGCAAGAAGCGTCTCGTTCAGTGCTGCACACGCAGAGTCTGGTGACGTATGAACCGGCAACGACAAAAGCAGGATTGCGGAGGGCGCAGAAGCGCGCGTCGTCCAGTCTCCCGAGCTAGCGAAGAGCACCGTCTGACTAACGCTCGCACACGCACCGACCGCGAGTAGCACCAGCACTCTATATGTTGATGAGCGCATCCCGACCGAGTATGATGGACAGGGCGGAAGGGCGTGTCGAGAAGCATGAATGCAACGATTATATGCGCCGCGGTCGGTGCGCGGTCAGCTGAGGTGTGCAGGTGGACGGGGATATGTCGCATCGAGCGGGACGGTCGGATGCGGGAGGCTGAGTTTGGAGTAGACGAGAAGGGGTGTCATGGAAGAAGGAGAAGTCAGAAGCTTTGAGAGGGTGAAGGAGAGGGACTACGTTCGTCCGCTTTGCGGCGGGTGATGTGACGTTCAGACGTAGGCAATGGTTCGCACGGCGTGGGACGAGAGTGAAGACCATTGTACAGTCTTTACAGTCAAGATATGGTTGCAAAGGTCCGACTCCGAGGTGGGAGGAAATGATAGTTCATTCATGATGAGAGCTGAAAGCAAGACGCGCGAGTGAACAGTGCGCTTCTAAGGGTCCGCATCAGCATTCTCGCACTTTACTACTTGATTTAGAAGAAGATGATTCGAAAATATGGGCGCGTCGTTTGGGTGCGGATTCCCCACACCTCAACCCTAACCCGTGACTTTCTTACCTCGGCAATTGCCGGACAGGTCGACTTTCCGCTGAAACGGCGGTGGCAGTGACGCGGCTGGATCTGCATTTGGGGATCACATCTAGTGCGGCTTTCGGAGTTCCCTGTTTATCACCACCACCACATTAGCAACCTTCTACTCATATACCTTCCGAACATCTTTGCTTAACATGTCTGCCTGTGAGCACTGTCATCAAGAAGGCGCCCAGTTCAGATGTAGAATCTGCAAGGAATCGAAATACCGTGTGAGTATATCCGCATGGATATCCGCAAGTGCCCCTCTGATTGTCTATGTAGAACACCAACTGCCAGGCGGCCCATTGGGATACTCACAAACCTGAATGCATGATGCCTGTATTTATGTATGATGTAGCAGTGGGGTTCTTCAACGTTGTAATTACCCGAATTCCGGGAACAGAGTGGAGGATGGGGGATGTGTCGCCCATTTCAGAGCTTGTCGGTCTTCCGATCAGGCTCATCCCGCAGCCGGAATCTATCTTGCCGACGCCACTTGTTGTGCAGGCCGAGATGGCGATGGGCTGGGTATCCGTGCGTGTACATATTGCTTGTTTTCATAATCGACCCCTGACCACAACTTCAGAAAGAGCCCTTCACGGCAGACTTGATGATTTCCCCGACTATGAAGAAGAGTCCGCGCTTTTGGCAGCTTCCAAGGACGGTGTGTGTGTGTGTGAAATATATAGTATCACGTGCTTATGTACGAAAGGTCGTCATCAAGCGTGAAGGCCGCAAGAAGCTCAAGACGTACATAGTGGAACTGCTGGCGGTGTATTGCCTTCACCTGCGCACGGTCGGGACGGACACTGTGCCCTCGCCAGAGCACTTCCGGGAGTTCTTTGAGTATTATCGTCGGGATGTGATAAAGGTCATTGGCGGGGCAAGAGCTCAACAGTGGAAGCATGTGAAATGGCCGCTGTAGCTACATGCATGTACTCTCTCGCGCACATAGGTAGACAGTATGTTTCACCGGACGATTCATTGTCATAACCTCTTCGGTGTCGTTGAACTTGTCCCTCATCTCCCACAACATATATTACAACATAGTTGTCAAGCCCCGCACATTCATCCCAACCGATTCTCCCTCTTCATTTATCACTAGGGGAGTGTCAAGTCGGGAGGCCAAATCGACACGGAAAACCAGCGGTTCGGAGGCGGATTTGCGATGGTTTGCTCTCAAACCCGACCCCGGACTGTCGCAAAAACCGGAGGCAGCTGGTCGCCTATGATCGCGGCTGATCGGGAAAGCCAAAGGAACAGGGAGTCTAGGAGCCTGGGCTCGGAGTGATCTTGGGATGGTCAGCCGCTGGTCAAATGACAGGCAGATAATGGTCAGGCAGTAGTCAGGCAGTGGTCAGAGGCTGACCATAGCCCAACAGCCTGATCCCCAAAGTGACAACTGCTCATGGCGCCCATAGCTGATCATAGCACCATTTAATATAGTACAAAAATGGATAATAAAATGGGATTGATATATTGCTCTTCTGGCAGCAGATATAGGTACTGCACGGTGTAGGAAAAACAAATATCATTGGGCTGTACGACTACGTCTGATTACACAGCACGATTCGGCAAATTAGGTACATGTGCGAGGGAGGTACATAGTAGACACAGAGGACGACATTCCGATACATAGGGCGGAACTGGGCACAAAGGCAACGGTGTATCAAAGGAGGGAAGGAGGGAGAAACCTGACGATGGAGTAAGACAATGAGATTAGAGGACACACACAGTCACTCACCTAAGTGTCCGCACGAACTCGTTGATTGTTGCTGGCACCTGAGTCAGCAAATGTAAACTTCATAAGGCATAACGACACACCTAGTTGCCAAGGGCTTTCCCGCATTGGGCAGTTGGGCAGGGAGCGGGGGCGGGATGATGGTCACGGTAGAATCAGAGTAAGGGTGTGACACAGGTGCGGAGTTGCCTAAGTACACGACGCGCATCCGTTGACATCAGCTTTTCCACGGCTCTTGCGTGCTCGCGCCCTTTGACCTGTCTACTCCAGTGCAGCACTACAGGTGTTTGCCTACGACCCGACGTTTTTTGAGAATGTACACTGTCCAGTCCACTAATAGGTATAATGATGAGAGTTCTTGTCTGCGTGCTGGAATGACGTGTCGAAGGATCACGAGGATCCCGCGCCGCACACGCCGCATTCGCCTGCATCACATCCTCCTCATCCGCGAAGGGCTTTGCGTGCACATGAGATATCATAGAGAATGGGGAATCAGAAAGCCCTCTACTAGTACATACGTGCAGCTATCCGGAATCCGAGTCTACCTCCCTTCCCCCGCGACTCCGCCCTGAACCATGACCATTGCACCTGAGCTTGCGGCTAGCGTGATGCCTGTCCCTCCCCGGCTCACGGCCGTCAGCCCCGTCAATTCTCGCCCTCTTTGACGAGGATTGCGTGAAGTAGGAACCAAGGTCGGCCTGGTGAGTTGGACGTTTCTGTCCGACTGGTCGAGGTGGCGGCGAGTCCCCCGGTGGCGGTGATGGACTTCAGGAGACATGCTCTTACGGCGTATTTGCGTCCTCGTCTCCCGAGATGGTGTCGCGTCATGGATAGGAGACCGGGAGAGGTGGTCTTGGTCTGCGCGGTCCCGATCTGTGCGGTCCTGGGCGGCCTGACTCAGATGAGCCATGGCGTCGTTGTACTCGCCCGCCATCTGCGATGCTTGAGAATCTGCCTGTTCGCGTTGCCCGAGACTTCGGCCGGATCATATAGCCTTGGGGGTCCCATTCAAGGTGAATGCAGAGCATGCTGGGCTCGCGCTTCTCGAGCCCAGAAAGAAGATACGCGAGGAAGTTGGTGTACGTGTCCGCCCAATCGATTTGCGTCAGCTCTTTCTCTTTCGCCAGATTTGCATCCTCTGAGAAGAACCATATCGTCTGATAAACACCCTTGAACAGCATTAAACCAGAGGAGATTGCCTGCATTTTACTCACAAGCATATTGGACAGGGCAATGTGTTCGGTGAGTATGTGAGTCCATCCGTAGAACCTGACATTGTTATTGACATTATATTGAGATTCGCCTTTGGTCCAATGGCCCGCGTTCTTGGGCCCAAGCAACAGTGCTGCCCATACCTGGTATGCATGTCATCTGTATGTACTCGCTTGAAGTCTGACTCACGTACCTTCATTGCATTGTCCGACCAGAACACCGTATCCGGATTAAACTTCCCGTCAAGAAGCATCTCGTCTCGGTGGATGACGGCAGCGTCGACCTGATCAAGTTTGCGCTGCTCATTGTTCGCGAAGCGTTCGTTGATGGATGGTGCATAGTTCCGAGGCAAGCTTTTGGTCAGTGTAAAGCCATCAGATGACTGGTTCTCGTTCTTGAACCAGGAACGCCCATCAAACGCGCAACATTGACCGCGCTGCTTCAAGTCTGTGATGCGTGCTTTGGTCGGGGCAAAGCCGCCTGGTGCCTGAGAAGCCAGCTCCTTGTCTACGGGCGGTGCGAGGAAGTTCTTGAGTCCTCCTCAGCGCCTGCTCATTGCCTTCTGCGTCTCAAGGCTGTTAATATAAGCATCCTTCTGGCGTGACTCCTCACGGAGTGCATTCATCTCCTCCTCGAGTTCTCGAGTTCGCTGACACTGTATCACTACTAGATGGCAAGTGAAACAAGGATGGACGCACCTCGTTATCCCTATTGTCCGGCATTGGTCTTGGTTGTGATGGTGGGCATCCAACTCGCTTAGGTTCTTTGCCGACGCGGTATTGGTCCTGCTCCACCGGAATCGCATAACACCGTGACCGAGCCTCTTCCAGTGTCTGTCTGGTTCTCTGACTCGTTCTCTGACCATCTCATGCCTCAATGGTCGAATAAGCCCACTGGGGCTCAAGGCGATCAGGCTGACGGCCGCATCCTCTGTACCTTATGTGACCAAAGGTTCTTTCCTTGCGGCTACCCCGGTCACTTGCGTAAACGTACCAGGATACACGGTACCGAACCTGCATCGAACGGCCCAAAGCAACCTGCGAGTGCCAATCCGGATCAGTAGACGATCAGCGCCCCTCACCCCGTCAGGCCTCAGCATCACTGGCCAGCCTGAATCGATTTTGCGACAATTTGATCGGCCAAAGATAGCAAGTATATTCAAGAGATGGTAGTGGCACAGCAGGGCGAACGACAAGAATGTATGATGGCAAAGCACGAGAGCCTAGTATGTAGAGCAAAGACGTAGCAAAACAGTAGGAGATGCATAGCAGATACGAGTGTAGAACATGGAGATATCAATTGAAAAAACGAACTTGATCAGCGCAGTCACCACTGATGTCTATATTCAGTTCTGTGCGACAAGGTAAGCAACCGAAATACTCACACGACGAGTCTCTTCTCTCCGTTCTGACGATCACCAATAGAGAACGTCGCAACGCCATGCTGCATTTCGGCTAGGAGCTCTGGCCTAGCACTATGGGCATTACACATATCCCATAGATAAACACAGCCTATACGCACTGATTAGCAATGACATTTCGATACAGTAAAGAACTTCACGTACTATCACCACCTCCTGAGACAAAACCAAGTCCGCCTCCACGAGGCGGCACGACCCATTCGAAATGTGTGACACCGTAATTCGGCGCACCGATGGACCGATTCTTCTGTGCGTTTGCCGAGATGTTGTGCTGAAACCGGTGGATGGGCTCCTTCCACATGCGCGTGTTGTATAAGTGGAAGGAATTGTTGTTGCGCCCGATAGCGATGAAGCAGCCGTCGGGACTAAACTTCGCACAAGTGACTTCCAAAGCGATCTCGCTGCGTCGAGGGAAGCGCTCTAGCGTGACGGTCGTGACGGCGTCAAAGTTCGTATTCTTGATGTCGTATAGGCGCAGGACGTGTTTCGCATCTCTACTGCGTGTGAAGAGCGCGAGTCGCTCGCCTGGATCGCAAGGTAAGTCAGGGCATGTGGTAGTAAGAAAACGGAATACACGAACGATCATCGGTTAGCGCCATAGTGTCGCCACTATCGGTCACAGGCCGTCCATGTCCACCGCACAACCGTCCTTTGCCCTTGCCATTGCGCTTGCTTGTGTTGATCACCCAATGGTCACCATGGGCGTCCAACTCGGTTGAGGCATAGAGCCAAGTGCCGTGCCCCAAGAGCACCTCGCCTGTGGCGCGCGGGCTTCTTGCGGGACATAGGTCATACCCAGGGACTAACGCTTGGTGATTCCAATTATTCGGGTCAAGATAGTCGCTGTAGACGTATATACGTCCATTCGAGCAGCCCACGGCCAACGCGCGATCGTCGGGATGATGCGAGCGAAGCTTGAGAGTCGTAGGGCAAGCGCGTGCATGCCATGCCCGTACTATAACAAGGAATTTAAGAACGGAACAACACAAATAGAGGAAGAACCCACATCCATCGGCCTCTCCGTTGGCCACAAGCTCGAGCTCCCTCGACGGCTCGTTGACGGCCTGTCCATCTGCATCAGCCATCATGACATCCCCATCGGGACGTGAGCGACGCCAGACTTGGACAATGCCGTCGCCTCCGGCGGAGAGCAGATGGGGATAGTCACTAAGCAAGAATGATTAGATGTTGATACTGAGAGGGTGCAGGGGATAAGTGCGTATGGGTCAGAGCGATCAAAGACAATGTCTTTGATCTCAAAATGCCTATGACAATAGGCTTGGTGTCCTGCCATTAACTGATGAGACCACTCTGTGTGGTGACCATCCAAAGGATACTCTATTGAAACATAATTGGCATCAGACTGCATTAATCATGAACAGTAACTGCGCATGGTTCACACCATCCCACACTCAGAGGCACCCTGAGAAGTTGGCAAAGCCTGTGATCAAGTTGTTAGGAGGCGTGGTGGATAGACCGTGAAATGATAGCACAATACTGACCTCCGTCGTCGCGCTCGTCAGTGTTAGGGTTGTCTTCAAGTATACTACCGCAGAAGGTAGTACTCCCAATGGCGACGTAGCCAGAAGCCTGTGCAATACTTAATACAGCTGAGAATGAGGTCAGCTCAGCTCCCAAGAAGATGCTAGACGAAACACACACAGCCACTTGCGGCGAGTGTTCTGTCCGAATCACCTTCACAAATATTGAAGTTGAACTTATCTCTCATATGCGACTAATGATAACCTCTAATAGCACCGTGTAGAAGGCCCCACTGTCGTTGGCACAGCACCAGCGAAGGAAAAATATGCCTGCAAAAGTCTTTCATCATTTGCTGGTGTCAGGTGTCAGTAATGCAAGTCGAGAAGTTATAGAAAGTACAATATTTACTTGGGCCAGAGCCTCAAAGGCATCTTCATCGCTGTCACCATCGACATATGCGTTATTGTCTTGTTCAGAGTCCTTGTCGGGAAGGCGCAAAGGTGACCGGTAACAATGTAAAGGTGCGGGATTTGTGGGTGCCTTGGACTTGGGCGTAAATATTCGCCGCGGCGGCAGATCCTTCCACTGCACGAGATGTACTTGTTAATAGACGAACAACAACCAAACAGACAATCTACGTACCATGTTGCCATGTAAGGCATATGTGTATCCGCTGTTTTCATCTTGATCCGAGATTTTGTCATTACTGCTCTCATCATCAGAGATGTCGGCCTCAATGCTTGTGCTGATATTCGCGAGGTTGAGCAGTTCAGTCTTCTGGCCGGCAAGTATGGAAATCTCTTCTGTCTCTGGGTTATCGTCATCGATGAGGATAGACGAGGACTGCGTGACGGAGATCGTGGGGCTAATGGAGGTGCTGGGTATCGTGAATTCTACTCCAGATTGTTTGTGGCATTTGACTGGACCTGGATGGGCACTGGCAGCAGGTCATTTGAGGCTCTTGCCAGTGTCTTTGTTATAGTCGTCCCAGGGGTGCATATGTACTCAGGTACACCGCGTGTTGGCGGTCGATATCAATGCGCCGGCGCAAGATGGAGCCTCAGGAATGTCTCGTTTGCACGAAGACACAGTTGCATAACAGGACGGGCAGTGCAGCGTGCACTGCGGTTGCCCTCGCCTTCTACCTTGACTATGGCACTGTAATGATTTTAGGATATTGAGTATGGGGCTGGCTACGCCTGTGCATCCTTTCTCTCTCACCCTCTCACCCTCCCTCATCAGTACCTTCCCCAAATCGCTGATTGCGCTGAGATGCACTGAAATCCACTGAGATAAGGTCTTATCAGTGCGATTAGTGCGATCAGCAATTCTTGTTTCAGTGCGGTTTTCAGCACGACCCCGAGTGCTTCCACTCAGCGATCTCAGCACACCTCAGCACCTCAGCACGCCGGTGCGATATATGTATATAAATATTATTTAGCAAGCCCCTAATCATATGCCGTGTGTATATACTGTTCATTCAGTTGTCATCGTCATCGTCATTGACATGCTCTTGTTCACCCAACAAGTCGGGCGGACTGCTCGGTAGGTCCTGTACAGCTGCTTGCGAAGGACCTGCTTGCTGAACAGTCGTCTGCGTGGGACACGATATCTGAAGAAATTGCTCCGCAGCTGTAACAATGGAGGCGATCTTCTTCTTCTTTTCGAGTCCTAGGACGATCTTGAGCGACTTCGCCATGTCTTTGGCAAGGGATGCAGCATTCCACTTGATGGCTCCCGGACTGGAGCGACCGTCCTTGAAAGCCTGGAAAACCATGCAGACCTATGTGTTGTATCAGCACCTGTTATTATATACAAAAGAAGTAGCTGTCGAAACGTACAGCAACGTGCGAGAGTATGAGTGCACCAACTGGTTCCCGTTCAACTGTCAGTTTCACTGTCTGCACCTTCGTCACATATGCCTTGGCAAATACTTCGATGATGTACGGTGAGTGCAGGGTACCACGACGTTCCTGCGATATCGTGAGTTAAAGTAAAATAGCATGTGGAAAAATGTATGACCTTGGCATCTAAGCTCGGCGACTCATAAATCACTGACATTGAACCATTTAGAGCATCCTTGGCAAATGCGGCATGTTCCTCAACTGAGCTGGTACTGTGCTTGTTGATGGCAGTCTTGACGACGGTTGTGGCGAAGTCGAGAAAACCCTTGAGCCACGTGTGGCATGCCTGACACAACTAGAATGGACAGATGTATCAGTGCGCTGGCTTGATTAGAGAGGCACCACGACGAGCTACTTACAAGTTGATACACGTGATCCGTGACTGCCTTCTTTGGCTTATACCCCTGCTTGGGACGTATGACAGCTATGATCATCTTGATGATATCCCTGAGGACATTATCATTGTCATGCAGATTGAAAGGATTCTCAAACGAGCCATAGAAGACCTGCAAACCCGTCTCAACTCTGGATTGAAAGAGAGCGACAGGCATCCAGTCAGGAAGATCCGCGTAACCGCACGTGCAAGACGGATCAACGTTGGCGGGAGAGGTCTGGCGAGACACAGCAACACCCTCTTCTTCCTTGATCTCCTCGACCTTGACGATCTGCGTGTAGCTGGGGGTCAATACATTGCCACAGGGAATTTTAGAACGAAGATAGTAACCTTCGCGCGGCCAATGCCCTTGCCATCGCCCTTCACAGAGGCGACGTCCTTGTCCGTGAACCCTTTATCTACCACCTTCACTTCATCATCGCTACTGTTGTCCTCCAGCTCCTCGACCACAATGCCACGCTTCACTTGGTTAGCTTGCGAGGGGAGCTTTGATGGTGTAGCTTCAGAAGTCTTCTTCAGACGAGCTGTGGCCACTTCCGACGAGTGGGATGACGAAGCAGCAGGAGTTTGAGGAGACAAGATTACTTTGATATCGGGGTCAGCCGTGAACGAGAGGCCAGCGAACTTCTTTGAGATGGTTGAACTGGCAGAAGCAGAGCCGGGAGTTGCTGGCGTAGAAGCAGTGGCTTTAACCTTAGTCTTAGCCGGAGTCGAACTTGATGCAGACGACTTCTTCAGCCATGCCGAATCGAAAGCACCAGCTGCACTCTTTCCCTTCGTAGTAGAAGACCGGTTGGAGGTAGATGGTGCACTTAAGACTAAAGTAAATAAAGGGCTGCATGCGAAGAATAACAGACACATGCACCTTGTGGATGCAGATGGACCGATGATGGCGGGTGCAACAGACAGCGACTTTGCGAGGGAAAGGTTCTTGTTGACCGATGAACGCGCAGCGTTGATCTCCTTGACACGCTTTTCTTTCTCCTCGAGCCGCTTCTCCTGGGGTGTCTGATGGGTGCGAAAGACAGACCCGCAATGGTAAGTGCTCGTGCTCGGAATGTGAGCGGGAAGATCAGCACGCACCTTTCTCGGCTTCTCGACTGCCTTCCCCTTTCCCTTCCCACCACCATCTGTCTCGCTCTCTTTCTGTGCCTCAGGCAGAACCTCGCGTGCCAGCAATCTCTCTTCCTCCCCGACACGGTCCTCCATCATCTCCGTGGCACGCGCGAGGCCAGCACAAGTCTGATCCTTCTTGACGCGCTCTTGGGCGGCCTTCGCGTCGTGCGCGCGTTGCACCACGTCACTCTTCGCGGCGGCCTCGCGTTGTTGCTCATGCCGGCTGCGCTTGAATTCGCCCGTATCCCAACCAGGGTGCACAGAGCCTTGAAAGCGCGTATGGGGACGGACAGTTTTCTCGGCCTCTGCATCACTGTCCATGTAGTCGTTATCGGTCGGGACTACGGCTTCCTCCTCGGTCTCCTGGCCATCCCTGTCCATCTCCATACTGTTGTGATTGTGAGTGAAATGCTTTATCGAGCAGGACTGGTGACATACTGATTCTCGCTAGGCGAGACACCCTGCTCCGGGTCGTGTTGGGTGGCAGTCTGGGCAGCGATTGCTATTAAATTAATTGTGTAAGCCCTTGCAGTAGTCACTTTCGGTCAAGTACTTACCTGCATCATTAGCGATCTGAGTGCCAGTCCTCGTGCCTCGGCGCGGCCGCTTCGTGACTGGCTGCTCGCCTGGGTCATCCCCACTGCCAGCTGCATCAGGCAAAGTACCTCGTCAAAAGTGAGATGCAATCCGTAGGCCAGAATGTTAGGGCTCACCTTTCTTTAGCGATTTACCCGCTTTACCTGCAGCACGGCCGCGACCACCAGCGTTGCTACGGGCTCCACCACGACGACGTCCACGTCCACGTCCACCCCGCCCACGCCCATACCCACGAGCCGGGGCCTCGTTTCCGTCACTGTCATCTGAGTGGATGTCACTAGAAAAGTCGCTAGTCATGGCAAAAGTCATATATGCGTAGTCCATATGGCCATGGCCCCCTTGACTAGGCATTGACTAATTCTGGGGATATTCTTAAAATAATATATAGCTCATTAGTACAGCACAGATAAATCATAAAAATAATTACTTGTACTAGGGCAATGTATTCAGTATATCCAAAAGCAAGTGCGGCTAATGCGTAGGCGTAATGACTAGTAGATATGGACTAGTACCCTACCGCCTGCAATACCTACTGCGAGTTCCCGCTTGCAAGAACGAATCCGCTGGGCTTTTTTTGGGATCCTGCTCTATTTTTTTCCTGGTGCAAAACCCTAACCCTAACCCCTAACCTCTAACCTAACCCTAACCTAACCCTAACTCTAACCACCCTAACCCTAACCCTAACTCTAACCTCTCCTAATAAATGTCTGCAATACCCACTACTAGTAAGTATTTTATGTATTTTTTCCCATAGCAATAGCTATACTAGTTATTGTATTAAAATTGAATCACTGCTAATTACCCCATTTGGACAGTCTAGTATATTTTTGTCATTATGTAACACATTTCATGGCATTATGAAACCCCCCCTGAACTACTATAGTATATACTTGAGGCCCCTAGTGTATAAAACCCCATAGTTCTAGCTATTCTAGTGCTTGAGATATAAAAGGTAGTACAACTACTAGTTAAATGCCTAGTCAAGGGGGCCATGGCTATATGGACTAGGCATGTATGACTTTTGCCATGACTAGACATGACTATCGGAGTGATTTCTTATGGTCATCTTGTGTGAGTTCTCCCTCGAAGCAATCCCGGATGTCAACTTCGCTCATGATGGGATGGCGGTGCAAGTGCAAGGTGTTGCGCTGAACAAGGCACCACGGCTTGTCACGTTTAGCAACCTTCTCACGCGCCCGCGTGAGCCAGGCCCGCACCGCGTGCCCTTGACTGGTTATCTCGAGTGTGGCCCTTATCGTGAATACTCCTTACCACGATCTCCTCACCTTTCATCCCGCCTTTGTCTACCTGCTTGTCTTGTATCTACTTGTACACTCATGGGATTCTGGTACAATAAGTGTAACTCGTCGTTCCTGTCACGGTTCGACCCTCGATCCCACGATTATTCATTTTCATTTTCCTTTCCTTTCGATTATCCGGCAATGGCTGGATCGGACCAGTGGCCCGTCCGGGCCGGAGGCTAGAGCGGTCCAGTGCTCGCAGGAATGTGCCGGAAGGTTCCTTGACTGCATGACTCATCCCCTTCTCGTATGACTCGGCCCGGACTGACTCACCTCTGCTCAGTCAGCAGAGGCCGGGTGGCTCACTAAGCACGTTCTCACCAAGGCTGTGCATGACTCGGACTACTATATAAGAC